GCTTTCACTCCTCTCCCTCTCCCATGCAGTGATGTTTTTGTGTTCACCTCTTCCAGTTCATCCAAGAAGTGAATGCCTTTAATTCACTATTACATATGCACACTACTTAAGCAGGGAGAACCAAATGGGTCCTCTGTTCCTGACAATGGATGATTTGAGCCTGAACAGTAGAGGGAAAACTCCTGTAGCCTTCCAAATATTGTTGGAGTACAAATCCCAGTAGCCTTGGACAGCATGATGAGGAATCCTGGAAATGGCAGGAGGGCTGTTATATAGATCTCCCAGATCAGGGTACAATATCAGTCTTTCTGTGTGCCTCTTTCTCTGTGTCTTCCTTTGGGCCCAAACTTCCATTCTTTTCTTGCAATACAAAAATTCATCATATGCACATCTCTGCTGTCATTCTGTGACAGGGCTTTTGCTATTCTGGAATAAATGGTGGCTGGAGATGCTCCATAGGAAAACACTTTGACTGTTCAGTAATGACAGAGGGGTGCTGAGGTCATACCAAGAAAAACCGTCAAGTGCCAACAAATACCTAAATAAACACACACCAGAAAGGCAATGCAGGCCCAATGGATTAGGCGACAGTGAGGGCAGGTTTGATTACTCTCTTCTGTCTCAATCTCTCTCTGTCTTCCCCCCCCCCTCGCTTTTAAAGTGTTACCAGGAGGAAATTGGAACAATCTCAGTTTATGTTATTTCTGCATTTGTGAGGTTGTTCACTTAGCCTGTGCAATGACCTGGAATACTTGGCGTCACTGAGACAGAAAGAGTAACAGAGATGTGATGATTTCATGAAGAAATGTTATTGAACTGCAGCAGATTTGCTTTGCTGGCAAAGAATGTATTATTTGGGGGGGGGGGGGGAGATCATACCATTGGTGGCCATTCACTGAAGGGAAGGGGAGATTCTAAGGTATTTTTAGGCATGAGGGCTTTGCCTTTTCAAGACAACAGGCTTCTGCACACTCATCCAAGCAGGCAGGACCTTTCCCTCCCTGAAAGCCTTTTTTTTTTTTTGCTGGAATAAAATCACCAAAGAACTAGACATACAAGACAGACATTTTACTACATTGTCACCTGAAGAGTTTTAAACATCACCACAAAATTTCAGGCATCTGCCATGTCCAATTTTTTCAATTGTTTTAACAGCCAAAAAAAGGCTAGCTTGGGCTATTCCTCCCAAAAGATCTATTGTATTTGTATTTGTTATTATTATCTTCTACTATTTTTATGCACCCCACCCCCCTGCAAAGGGAGAGTAACAACTGCTCAAAACCATTGTTCTACTTCACGAGATCTGGTGTTTTTCTGTTCTGGGTATTTGGCCTATATGCTCTTGATTCCAGACTTACACACATTCCTAAGGAGATGAGACATATTTTTAAAAAGGTATTTGGGGTTTAAAATATTTTTACCCATTGTATGTCACCTTGGAGGGACAGATAAATGTCATTCATTCCTTTTGTACTGTGTGTCTGTATGTGCACCTGCCTTCAAGTCATCTGTTGGCTTATGGTGATCCCATGATTTTTATAGGGTTTTCTTAGGCAATGACTACTCAGAGATGATTTTGCTAGTTCCTTCCCCTGAAATATAACCTATAGCACCTGGTATTCAATGGTGGTCTCCCATCCAAGTACTAAACAGGGTTGACTCTTTGGTTTTCAAAATTAGACAGGACCTCATGCTTTTATTGTTGTGTGAGTTCAAGTCATTTCCAACTTATGACAACCCTAAAGTGAATCTAAAGGTAAAGGTAAGGGTATTCCCTGTTGTCAAGGTTGTCAAGCCGAAGAGCCAGAGACTACTCTGTGATCATGTGGCCAGCATGATTGCACAGAATATGGTTTACCTTCCCACTGAGAAGTGGTACCTGTTTATCTACTTGCATTTGCATGCTTTCAAACTGCTTGGTTGGCAGAAGCTAGGACTAGTGATGGGAGCTCACCCCATCATGCAGCACCTGGGCCTTGAACTGCCAACCTGCCGTTCTTGCAATCAGCAGAGTCATTGTCTTAACCACTTGAACCACCACATACCACAAAAAGTGAACTTATCATGGGGTTTTCTTAGCATTGTTCATAGGGTTTTTTCCTTGCCTTCCTCTAAGTGTGAGAGGGTATAACTTGCCCACGGTCACCAAGTGGGATTCCATATTTGAGTGGAGATTTGAACCCAGATCTCCCAATGTCCTAGTTCAACAATCAAACCACTGCATCATGTTGGCTCTCTTCTGGAGCCTTAGTACATCAGAATATCTATGGAGTTGTGGTTGTGGGTAGCTGTCCAAGATGGTGGGTGCATACATTGGATGCTGATCAAAGCCTCTTTAAATTAATGTAATCAAACTGTATATTATTGGACTTATAGCTGTGCTTTTGCAAGAATCAGTGACTGATGGGGAAACAGTCAGCAATTTGTTAGTAATGAGAGATTAAAGTTCCTTCTTCTCACTTAAAATACACCACATTGTACTGGACACAGAAGACCCTCCTTTCAATTCTAATATATCAGTAAGTATGGGTAAGGCAAACAGAAGAGTAGGGACAAAAGGGTACTCCTATTCCACACTTACACCCTGTCCCTCAATATCAATACTAAAACTTTTTGAAAAGTTCCAAGATGATATAGAAAGAGAGCTCCAAAGAGATTGACCTAGTCAATTCTGAACAGACAGCTCTTATGGAGTATATGATTGACATTGTGCACACTGCAAACATTGCTACAGAAAGGGACAGCATATGAAGAAAGATTTCAACATCTAGAAATTGCCAATGAGGCTCTACCTAATAAAGCTGGGGAATTTCTACGGGGTCAGATTAATACCCCAGATCAAGGCACTCAATGGATTTTGTTTAAAAAGCCTGCCTAGATGTGGGTTACATAACACACAAGGACAAACTATTTCAGAGGACTGGAACCTAAGGCCTTTATGCATAAAAAACATATATGTGTGTCTTCTCTCTATAAATTCCAGGTACTCGATGAAGTGTGAGCACCCTCCAAAGCTGGCAAAGGTCACCTGTCCCATAATTTGTTCTCCCTACCTGCTTGAACAACTATCAATACCTTGCATTATGCAATATTACTTTTATTTTCTGTGTTTGAACCTACAGGAATGGCCAAAAGCAACTAAATGTTTTTGTGTTTTTGATGTCTGTATGTGTGAAGTTTGAGGTTGTTGTGCTATGCAAAGCAGTTTGTACACGTAGAGCACAACTTCTAAGCTTTCCTGCCCCCCCTCCACCAAATGTGTTTGATTAATAAATTAATGAAAACTGACAGGAAGAACAAAGGGTAGAGCAGACAGTTTCGCAGAGGGTAGCATTCCAAAGAAACAAAACTGATTAGTTCATAACAGCAAGCAAGAGGGAAGGGTTGGCAGGCTGCCCGTCACCCTTTTATTAAAATAAAGCCAAACACACCCCACACATGTTCGCTTTTGGTAGCACGAGTGTGTGAACAGGAGCAGAGATTGACAATATTGCAGTCCTGCACAAAGACACACATTGATTGGCGGGGGGGGGGGAGTAGTTCTGCATCTTGAAGACATAAATAAATTAGAGAGCTGTGAAGTGCGAAACTGGGCAGATCTGAGTAGACCCAACCAATTGTAGCTGGTGGAACGCTGTGAAGAGGGGCTAAATATAAAAACCAGTGTCTTGTCCATTAAACGGTTAGATAGGGTTAGGAAGAGACAAAGGGAAGAGATCTGAAGGAGGTTTAATGGGAGCTGAGAATGTGGAGAATTCAAGGGAGAAGAGTCACCATGTCTGAAACTGAGATGTTACTGTGTGAAATCAGCCTAAGGCTAGATGTTTAGTTTGTTATATAGTGGGCCCTCCTTATTGGTGAGCTTCCAATCTGTGAATTTGACCACCTGAAGATTGCCAGACCCCATATTATTCAGTGGTGGTGATGTTGAATGTGTACATACAGAAGCATGCACATTCATCTCACTGCCTTTGAAAAATATGGACTGCAATCATCTGTGGTTTTTAGCATTCAAGAGAAGGGGAGGAACCAAATCCCCACCAATATAGAGGGCCCACTGTATAATACAACTTTACTGTTTTTATCTTTTGCCTCTCTTTTTAAATAATTCACAAGGACAACTGGTCATATTTCACCACATTGAATCCACTGATCAACACAGCCACTTATCCAGTATTTTGGTCACTTTGAGGCTTGAGTACCAGATCCAGGGAGGGAACTTAAGGGGAATATGTGGGAGTTGCAGACTGCCAGAAATAGTGCAAATTGAGTCCACTTTTAG